TAGGAAATGATGCACCCAACTCAGGTACAGATTCCCAAATAGTATAATGAAGGTGGATCAGCAGGAGAAAAAGAGATATCTTGATAGATCTACGACGGCAGATACTGGAAGTGGTCACGACATAGGTCGCTCCATACATAGTTCAAAAGCCATGCCCTGTTTTCTGCGGGCACAGTAACACAGATGATTGTTGATACCGTACGGGTTATTTAGGAGTTGCAGGCCCAACGGAGATCGCTTATTTCAAGTGCCCAAAAGGAGCGCAGGAACCAACTCTCGCTGGAGATCAACGCCAACCTCTACTCGTTTTAGCTGGTGACTAAGAATTATGCAGACGCAACTGTATGAAAATGGTATGGAAATAACACGGACAACTCATAGCAAGACACCTTACTATGTAGATACATAGCCTTACTTCAATAACCGAGGTATCCGCACAGTTGCCGAAGTTGTAGCTATGCGATAACAAGCGTGCAAGCGTGCAAGCGTGCAAGCGTGCAAGCGTGCAAGCGTGCAAGCTGGCAAGCTGGCAAGGCAAGTTGGTATTTACTATATTCTAGAATACAATGGACGGATGCTTCTCGAAAAGGGCATTACCTTTCTATCGCGACGACGTCCTCCCATATACATATTCATATGTAAACCGGTGTCCACATGGTCAACAACAGGTCCACCACGATATGATCATCGATCTGATGATCTGTCAGGAGCAGAGGCCATTGTGATCCAATCGCTATTACAAATCGGTGAGATGCAAAAGACTCCAGCATAAACGGGTCGATTTCTGTTTTCATCATCCGTGGAGAGACCCCCTTTTTTCCCCACGTTCAAGCAGGTTAGCAGGTTAGGTAGATGCGTAGGTATATCTATAAATGTTAATAGAGCGAGCCCCTATTTATGTTTTACGAGTAAGATCTACGTGCCAACTCGTATATCGTGTAGTTGTCGGTATATTCTAATCGTTAGCTTGTGAGTTAATTACATCATACAGATACATCGCCTCTCGATTTAAAAAAAAGAAGCATGGTCGATTACTTACCTTGGCTCGATCCCTTCTAGTGAGCCTTCATCCCTATATGTAAGGGAGGATACAATACAATCCTACAGCATCAAGCGTGCAAATGTTATAATACATATGTTCACATTAGTGGTTAGATATACAGATCTTCCTTGCCTCAAAGAGAAGGTATCACTTTCGAAACGGAAGTTCGACGTTCTGGATGTATCAAGTGTAACCCAACGCTCTGTCTTAGAAGTGAAATTAGACCAGTAAGACGCCACCCAGCGTTCCAGCAGGGAAGGTCTATCTGTGACTTGAAGCTTGGCGATATGCAACAACGATGGTGCCAAGTTAATGCTTTCAGAATTGTCGTCAAACACCAAGAAATACTTCTTCGGAATACTTCTTCGGAATATACTTCCATCTACTTATCTATTTAGGCAGTCTACGCAGATGATTATTTTATCCTACTCATCCAGATGAATAGACAAACACTCAAACACTCAAACACTCGCAAATGATTAAATGACAATCCTTATTGTTGGACTAGTCTTTGTTCTAACCTAGTTTATTACACATACAGGGGGGATAGGAATTAATTCCACCCCCGCATACCTACCTAGGTAGGTATCCATGGCCAAAGGTAAAGCAGTACCTACTTCTTAGACAACTCTAATAGAACGGCTATCCTAATCCCAAGAATATGGAAACGCGTCTTCCCAGCAAAGACCCCTATGTCTATCTGGCATGTCTAACGCTTTGCTAATAAACTCTAATAAAGCTATTCACTCCATGATCAGCAATGATTCTAATTAAATCCTACCCATGTCATGGATCTAATATTATTTTCTTTCCGGATTTTCACTGCAAGTATCACAATCTTCTAGCGGCGTCTATAATTCAGGGAGCTAGGAACTTTCGTAGAATCTAGAATGTCAAGGCCGTAATGATCTTACACAGAAACTTCCGTGACCCATCTGTAGCCCCATTGGTCGCTTATAGTTTTACAGCAAGCACATATATTTAAGACCTCATCGCCGTCATGATCACTATCTCAATCCTTCAATCGGCAAACAATGCATGTTAAGACAGGGGATCCACGCTTAATCGAATCTCAGCCCAGACCGCAAATTGCCTCTCCGGATCCCGAGTTATGTGAAAGGCATCATGTTTGTGGCTCCGTGTTGACGCTCCTTTGCGAGCCGCAAATGAGGCCATCCGCGACTCTTCGCGAACAACTCGGCTATTCTCTAGGCCCTCGCCACGAATATCCCGCGCCAATGTTCGGGATCATGGATTTTCGGGAGTTCTGCATAGTGGACTAGCTCGTGCAACTAGGCCAAGGGAAACCGCCGATCTGGGAGTCGAGACCTTTCGAATCACCACGACGTATTCCAGCCACTCGGAGATCGAAATAATGGGGGGGAGGGGGGGGGGGAGTTACTAGTGAAGTGTCACAGTTCGACGCCGGTGACCCGGTCACGAGGAATCCTGTCGCTCTACGGGCCTCCGCGTCCTGGATTCTTGGGGTAGGTACAGCATGAAGGAGCACTACATATCTTATCCGAATCCGACGTTGCCCCAGACTCTTCAATCTAACTGCGCGAGAGGACTGTAACAGCATCTAGCCTTTTCGCTAGTTTCGCGTTTCGTCTTGGATTGGTGTGCTTCCGTTCCGTTTCGTTTCGGTTTGTTTCGTTTCGTTCACGCATGCGATAGCAACGCTGATCGAGATCGTACCCGCAGATGAGCCTCTGCTTTTTGTTCTCGAGGTTCGCCCCGAGTGTCGGGCCCGCGTAGTAGACGCACCGATGTATTCCAGGATCAGGGAGTCGGGTAGGGGCATGAAGAATAGTGTCGCCTACCGCGCGTGCATTAATGGAATGCTAGCATCCGTTACTGACGGCCCAAAACTACGCTATGTCGGAGATAAATTTGCGGCAGCCATGCGTCCCTACTTGCGTCCCTACTTGCGTCCCTACTTGTACATAGCGGTGACCATGGCTTCTGGTACCAGAACACGGGGAACCGGACCTCGGAGCATGAGGAAAGATGCCGACGTATCATATCCCGGCAGACCCCGATTCATGGGCAGCATTTAACATTAGAAAGGACCATTAATCAATCTACAAGCACTCTATCAGTCACAATTAGGCACGGGGCGTCATTTCGAGGGGCATTTCGAGGGGCATGTCGTTGGGCATTCGGTACACTCTAGATTCACCAGAAAGTTGATAAACCCTTGGCTCTGTCTCGCAGTAGAGGTACAATGAGAAGCATTGATAGGATATGATAGGATATCTACACAGGTATGCATTAGGATTGTTCAGGGATATGTACGAAGCCACCTAGATCGCAGGTAGTATGCAGGCTGGAAGAAAAGAAATAAGCAGAAGCAGAAGCCTGGGGATAATTAAGTTGGAATTGAGAGCAGCTACCCGCCGCTAGGTACGGCCTGTCGCCTTCAAGTACCGACCGTGTGTCACATAAATGGCTGGTATCTGGGGTCTAAGTAGTAGGCACCCGACGATGCCGACGTTTAGAAGCACGCCGCCGAGCCTCATTTCAAGATAGATAGGTGCCTATCTAAGATATATTACCGACGGGAAACGACCTAGAAAGAATTTTAACCCTAAAATATGAATATCGTAAGGAAGATTCCAGGAGCTGTGGCCTTCCGGTCCCGAGTATGCGTTTACCTAGGTCGCGTCGCCTTGGGGCTGTTATTACGATTAACACCCAAGAGTAACTTACAAGGGCGATAGATGGGGATTCGATAGTTCTTTGCGTGGAGAGAATATCGAGATTGCAAAGGCATGTTAGCAAGTAACAATGGCAATCGTAACGATTCAAATATTAAGAGTTGAGCGTAGTGTACTCAGTGAGGCAGGTAGTTCTCGACAATCTGATCACCACGATACTGTTGTAGTGAGATGTCATGAGAAGCCTTTCAAGTAAACAATTTACTCTATAGCCCTCGTTATAGTACTAGGTAGTATATTTACAAGTAATTGTAGTCTTCAGTATAGAAATCAAGGGGTCAAAGTCTAGAAGAATAGACTGGTATGATAAATACCATTTATGGCGACTAATTCCAAAGCTATCAATGACGCATGTTTCACCCGTTCCCCCAATAAGACAACAACAGGACTACCCTTTCGCCCCCGGTAGCGTCTCGATCCCAATCCTATCTATTTAGATTATTCCATAAGAGCACCTTAAAATAAGCCTTACAGCCTCTCCTATGTTTAGTGCTACAGACCATGACAAATACTTAGAGATTACCTACCCTATCTCATGCCTTATAAATTCTCCTGAGATATCACTTTCAGGTACGATCGAGTCTGTATTCGGATCCTCTTGCCTTGGGACGTACACGAACTTTATACGCGCAACAGCATAGCGGTGTGATTCCTACTGGAACCGAAGTGAATGATGTGATCCGACTGAAGAGACGATGTAACGTCTGGTGTTTAGTTAGAGCGCCTTTGCTTCGAGGCTGAATTAGGTACTCAGTGGAAAGTTTTGGCGACAAACACGAATCATCACTGCCGATATCCGAGAAGTTCTAAGGCAACATGCTATCTGCTTCTTTACGCCTGTGCCTTTTTAGCGCTAAACAGAGTCCTAGAGGGGGGACGTAATACTCGACTCCCTAGAGGCAATTAGTGAGCAGACTATTGCGTTCTTCATCACCAATAGGACGACGGGTGCGTTACCCTACGTGCTCAGCTAGCCGGCTATGGCGGCACCTGGGTCCGCTAACTGGGGGTATTTGAAATCGGAGTCCCCGTTAAGATGCATCACTAGGTTGAACATGAACGGGAAAGGGGATAATGGTAAGAGGTGCGCTTGGCCAGCTTTATTCGTATCTCATTTCCCATTCCAATTATATCATTACACGAAGCAAGTATTGTTCTGAATATGATATATCCCGCGCATACTATCTAATTGCGCCGCTGCTTTCAATTAAATCCTAATCATGCAGTCGTAGAGTAGAAACTGTATCAAACAGAACTGCAGTTATCGACAAGATTATCTCAGGGGCCGACCTCGATCTGGAAGAGGTAGAGGTAGGCTAATGCTTCTTGAAAATGTTCGACCAACCGCCAAAGAGGTACTGGTCGGTGTGTCGCCCGCAATGGGTGTAGACATTTACCGTTGGCGCGTGGTGCTTCGAGTGATGCGGTTTGTGGTTCGACTCATGACTGGCTAACAATTTGCGACGCTCGTCGGACTGACTGTCCCTGGATGTGTCCTGCGGGGTGTTAGGATTATGTTTGGAGACGGTAGCGTGTAATGACGAGTAATAAGTAACTCTACCGACCTTGTCTTTCTCTGAATAGTAAGAACTAATGCTATCCTGACGACGATATGCGGAGTCGCTAGAGTCCCTAGCTGAAGATCCACTTTGAGACATCTTGAATTGAGGCTTGTGTGAACAAGTGGTCGAGATTGGGGAGTTGGTATTCTGAGCTGTACGCAAAGTAACTCGCAATTCCACCAGATACGAGCTTATAGGGATGAGGTTTTCCGGATGTCGTAGAGAGCCAGGTCTGAATTAAGTTGTTTGTAGATACGCAGGTGATTATGTAGTAAGCTTCAAGCTTCAGTAAGGCTACCGACTTAACAGTTGTGTTAAGGACAATATTTAAAACGAATGCCCTCCAGGGTAGCTAGTCTCGCACGCCTGGTGCAGTTGTTTATATGATGACCGTAAAAGAAGCCCGGCTATTCGGAATGGATTTGGGTCTCGAGAACTAGAGACACAACCTCGCTGCGTGGGGTTGGCCTTATATACATGTATTCTTGACAGGGGAGGGTAGCGGCTCAAGTCAAGGATCACTTGGCCCAGCATATCAACGTAGGGAAAAAAGCTAATTAGCGTGTGTACGAGAAGCACGAGCAGATAGAGCACAAAGACAGGGTCTTCGGCTAGACGGCCTTCTGTAAGGCCAATTGAAGAATGAGTTATCCATCCTCGTGGCCAATGGGTCTGCGGCTCTAATGCGGACAAGGCAGGAAATGAGCAACAGACGGTGTATGACTGAGGCCAGAAGCACCGCTATTACTCACCCCGCAAGTGATCTTCCGTTGCAGGTGGGACAAGCCCAGCCAGCCCTATTACCTAAAATCTGCGGTGCCGTGACACGCAGCCAAGACACCATGTATGTAAGTATATTGAACAGGTCGGTATCGAAACCTGGTTAGTGGTTTAACATTAGGATTTATCTGTACGTTCCCACGTTTGCTGCCTGAACGAAATACCATGTTCGAATAAGTTGCCCTGTATTGACCGAGCTGAAAATGTTTTGTTCGCCTGAATCCGCCTGAAACGACCCGAGCTCGGGGCATTCCGAAGAGTCAAGTGGCTAAAGACTTGGCTTGCCGAGAGACAAGACGTTGAGTATTCGGGGGGCACCAATAGCGTTTGTAGGAGCTGAAGCTATTCTGGTGAGCTGGTGTGTGAAAATAGGCTGCGATGAACGCAATATGCTATGCTAGGTACTGTATTCGAAATGGCGGAAGCATATATGATTGGTAACTTGACGCATCACAAACACCTTATGACTAGATCAGGGCAGATGAGCTACCTAGATAACTTGCCGGCCCCTCGACGTTCGCGAACCACTTGACGCCTAGAAAAAAGAAATCCCCATACGAATAAAGTGTGGGGAAGCGGGAATAGTCTATCCAATAGAATCATCTTGTATGAGATCTATGAGGTTAGGTAGTTATTTGACCTACACTAGGTAACTGTGAGGTATTTATGTAGGTTAGATGATTCTTACCTGAGAACTTACATATATCGGACTGATATTTGTATTCCATGTCTGAAGGGAATATAAATAAGTATAGGAGCTTTCTGCGAAGCGATGAATTGCTATATCTTGAGTGATAGTTATATCTTTTGATTTAATTTGTAAGTAGTTCAAAGTTGGATAGCATAGTATGTATTGTTATGTTGCTTAGGTACATATGACATATGACATAGGGTCTCTGTACCGTCTTGGAGCTATGTGATACTGTGAGATAACACTGTAATAAAAGGGATAGATTAGGTACTGAAATGATTACTAATGCTGCTAATTGTGGATGCCTCAGGCAGCTGGAAAACATTGGGTCCGACACGTACACAATGTACCTAGCAAGCCGTACCCACGCAACCACGTCCCTGGCCCCTTTCAACAGCTCATAGGGCTGACGTTGAGTTTTGAGCCGCATGGTAGCGCCGTTGATATGATGTAAATCTGGGGATGGACCTTGGAGATATTTAAAGTCGAAGTTGATCAACTTATAATTCACATTTGATTCTACGTAAACCTGCTATATGCCGTAGATGGGTTGAAAAGTAGTCAATTGAATACTATAAATGCAGGCGACCTGGGAAACGGTCGTGTAGAATGCGTTTTGGCATCATGACTGAAGAATATCCGGAATTTCGACAACGTCAAGTTTCCATGTCGAGAAATTGGAGTCAAGATGGATGGATTGTCCGAGTTGTCAGGGTTGGAGTTGTTATGGTAATTTTTGGTATGACACGCCAGATAATTCTTGGCGGATGAATCTTGATTGGACAAAAGTTGCTGCACTGTGGGACAATCATGTTTTGCAGTGGACCGTGCATAGCACCCGCCTGTTGCAGGGGGGGGCTTAGAAACGCGACGAGTGACTACCTAAACCTTACTAAACCCCCGAAGCTCCTTCATCTTTTCAGCTTTGCGCTTTTCACGCAACGCCTTGTCTTTTTCACTCCAAATTCGCATCCCACACGTTGCCGCGTCTCGGATACGTAAATTCACCTCGTCTTACATCCGTCAATGTCTGACGCGACTCTGTGTCTCTTTCACGTTACCCCATAGATCATCTTTTTGCATAATACCATTCAAGACACCTATTGTCCAATTATTCTTTAGATAGTTATTGATTTCAATCGGCGTGAAGAGACCTCTAAATAATCCATCTTAACCGGTCCTCCAATCTCGACTCTCTATGTCCTACCCTTCCGAATCTATCGCGTTGACGTGACTTTCCATCGAATCCGCGTCTCAACTTTAGCTTATTAGCTCGTTCCGTGTCGATCCTCTTGTCTGATAGGGCGGAATAGGATAAACTCAGATACGCTATTGGAACGCAGACGGAGACGACCTATACCACTCTATACCACTCTATACCACTCTATACCACTCAGACAACCTCTCTCGGACGAGTTGGTTGGCCGTGTTACCATATGCCTTGATCCGAATATCTGAGACCTGTTGCTGTCTTGGGCTTTAGGCGCATTCCGACGTGAATGGTGGTGATGGTCTTCTGGACGTTATATTCATCTTAACCTTTGAGTTGCTACCAGACACGTTGGCTTGGTGTTAAAGAGAGTTTCTGGAGCATTCGCCTCTGCTTTAAGTCTAACCTTGCAAAAGCTGACAGCAACGCAAGCTTTTAGCTCTACCTATCTCCCCCGAGACAACCTCGAGGTATGTTTGCTCCGTCACTTATTCGTTTGCTCTAATTGTATTGGGCTATGTGCTAATCCCCTCGAATTATAGCTTAGGCCTCTCACTGCCTTCATCTCGCTTTTTTGTGTTGCTCCCGGTTGAGGCTGCTACAACTTGTACCCGCCTGTTTTGATACTTCAAGTAAGTGTTCACACCCCTTGCTCCAGCCACATCGCATCATCAACTTCACCAGCTGTACACTAAACTTGTGTTTTGGCACGCGGGTCCCTGCCCTATTATGGCTTCCCCCTCTTACCCCTCCCCACTTTCTCTTAACAAACTTACAAACCCCATAGCAACTTTTAGCATACATTTCTAACTCTTTTATCTTTGCAGCCTCCCTCAGCCTGCTGCTCGAAGACACAATTTTCAAAATGGCTGGCAAACGAAAGCGGGACATCCTCGACTTTGACCCTAACAAGTCTGATTCCGACGACGAGAACTTCGAGCCCGAGGTCGACCGGCCCCGCTCACGCAAGAAAACTCGCCCGCCTGGAGCCACCAAGTCTACTACTCGTAGCAGGAGGGTCAAATATCGGGGGTCTGATATTGATGATGACGAGCTCGAAGATAGCGAGCAAGAGAACTCGTTTGGCGAAGACGACATAGAGGAGGAGCCCGAACCTCCCATCAACGAAAATACCGGTCGTCGCGTTCGAAAAGCAGCCATCAAACACCAGAATTATAAGGAGAGTTCGGACGAGGACGATTTAATTCGGGATTCGGACGAAGAGAAGGACGATCTTATCAAGGAACCGCCTAAGAAATCGCCCCGCCAGAGAAAATTGATTACCCTCAAAGTTCCCCCACAGTCGCAGTCGCGCAAAACGCGCACAGCCTCCAACGCGACTGCTCCAATTGGCATTAGAAGAGTTACTCGAGCGCGCACAGCAGAAGCAGAAGACGAGCTGGTTGAGCTATCAAATTCGGGTAGACATGCGAGGCTAGCCCGAGGTTCTAAGAGCAAGAGCCCGGAAGCCCTAGGCATCGTTGGCCGACCAACTCGTAGCGGAAAGGGCATCAAAATGACGATTCCCACTGTAGTTGAAGAGGATACCCAGGAAGAGAGCAAACCGTCTGAAGCCGAAGCTGAAGCTATGCAAGACCCTATCGTCCAAGATATCGATCCAGCCGAGGAAGATGCCGTCGGTCAGGTAGATGATGAAGTGATCGAAGATACCGTTCCAGATCAAGAAGAACCTGTAAAAACGGTAGAGACAAATGACGCTATGGAGGTGGATGACGAAGATGAAGATGTCCCTGTCGCACGTAAGACGCGCAGCGCGAGGGCTAACCAAGCTGCGGCAGCCGCCGAAGACGCTCCTGCTGATGATGGCAGTCCGGTAAAGAGAACTCGCGGCCGACTAACTCGAAAATCTCGGTTCGGGAAGTCCCTCCAAGAGCCTAGCAGTGATTTTGAGCCCGGAAATGAGTCTGCAGAAGATAACGAATCTGGTCCCGAGGCTCATAAGGGTGGAGATGTCGACGATGACGACGATAATTCAAGTCCCAGTGCCCGTGGTCGAAGATCATCGAGAGGCAAGGGAAGAAGATCTGTGAGAAGATCGCAGCGGCGTGCCGAGTCGGGAGACGAAGACGAAGTTGACGAAAACGAAGTAGCAGAAGAACTCAGAGATCTCCGTCAAGATTCTCGTTCGCGCAGAGAACGCCGCTCGCCACAAATCCTGTTTGAGAAGAAAGCCGAGACTAGACGCCGCAGAGGCCAGCCAGTAAATTATGCAATTGCGCCGCTCAATGCATTCACCGTTGAGCAGGAAGAAGATGACGACGACCCGGCTCCGACACCAGCCCGTCGACGTGGACGTGTAAACGGAGGCGGCGGCTGGGACCACAGTCTCCACACGACTGCTGGCGCTTTAGGCGGCGTCGGTCTTGTCGGCTCGCTGCTCGGCGGACCGTGGGGTACCGGTGCCGCGGGTGGTGCGGATTCTGATAGCAGCGACGATGAGATGAATAATCGAACAGGAATGGCTGGAATGGTGGGTATGACGCCAACCTCGGCGGCTCCTCCTGGCCCGT